CGTAATGAATCATTGATTTGGGCAAGTAAAGCACATCGCCTGGACGCATGGTGAAGGTCTCGCAGACCATGTTGTCGGTTTGTGTATAGTCGAAATTGGAGCAGCCTGTATCATACATAACAAGCGAGGAGGTGGGGCGTTATTGGCAAACTTGTGTGCACCAGCAAGAACAAACCGCAGAGTCTGGCGCGCAAAATGGCTTACCCTTGCTGTTCTCAACGCGCAGCTCGTGAATCTGGTCCAAGTCGGCCTGAGAGGCCTCGGGCCAGTTTTCAGTTGAGTTGAGCGCATGACACACGTTCCACAGCTTTTCGCCAGCCACTTGCACGACAACAACGTCATAGCTATGTGTTGATCCGGGGGTGGGGGGTGCGGTGCATTGGGTCTTGGTGAGCGGCCTCGGGGAAGGGATGGGCGTCGGGCGGCGACTACATAGTGACTGGTTGACTTACGGGTCAGTGTGAGGTTTGAGGGCATGGGCTTCACCGGAAGAAATGTAGCCATGGGCAGTGACCTCTGGGGCGCCAAAGACGTCCATGAGCATGCGCTCGAGGGGAGACTTTTCAAAGTCCATGTACTCGCGGCGAATGACGGCTGACTGGCTGTTGGCATAAAACTCATCCTTATAGTCAAGCCAGGTATCAGCGCTTGGCATGCCGGCATCCTGGCTGTTGACATCGCGGAAGGCGAGCACGTTTTCGCTGTCGCGTTCAGCCTGGAAGACCTCGACCATGAAAGGGTCCACCTGTTGCAGATCCTCAAACCACGAGTCGAGGGGGATGAGGTTTGCCAGGGTATCGCTGTTGGCTTGCACGTGTCGGAAGTTTTTCCGGTACGTCGTTTCGAAAAAGTCATCGGCAGCGTCGCCAAAAAGGCGGCGAAGTTGCTCGACGGGCGTGGTGTTTTCTGCCACGATAGCGACCGTGCTGTGCAGCACGGCCAGCAGGGTGGCTACGAGGATAGGGCCTCGCATCTTGGCGTGTACAACGCTGCGTGTGCCCCGATCAGTGGCAAACGGTTACAATCTATCAAGCAGGTGACGTGGGGGAGGATCATGAGAACCTTGTGGAGTATTGGGAAGGGAAGGAACGTGTCGCAGCGCAAGCAGCCGCAAGACCAGCCGCTCAGCTGGGGGGTGTCAAGCTTGAAACAACGGGTAAACGCTGGAACTCAAACCCAGGGATGGATCCGATCCTGCCATGACGTCTTTCGTCAAGGCAATAAGGGCAGCCGTTTCTCACCTCGGGATCAGATTAGTAGCATGCATTCAAGTGTGTCTCTGGAAAGACCAGACAGAGAATGGCAGCTCGGGAAAAAAAAAGAAGGAAAGATACGACACTGGGAAAGAGGACCCGTGCCCCGCCTTGAGAAAGAGACTACGATCGCAATGGGCGAGCGGGCGAGCGGGCGGGACGTGCCCAAGAAGCCGGTAACAAAAATCAGTACGGCGACACGACAACAAGCTTTGAGTCGCCGTCCGGGCAAATCAAAATACCGCTCGTGCCAGAGAGCAGAGAGAGCAGAGAGAGCAGAGAGAGCAGAGAGAGATGAGCAAAACGTCGCAGCTGCACAGAGAGAGGGCAAGCGGCGGGTGGACGAAGAACAGAGGGAGCAGGCGATAGAGGGCGCGTTAGGATTGTGGAAAGGGGCTTAAAGAGGGATATCAGAGAGAGAGCTGGAAGGATAGGGCGCGATCAGAGGGAGACAACAAGGAAGAGGGAGAGAAAGAGAGGGGGAGCAAGATGGATGCTTTTGACAGGCTCAAAAGAGGGCGTCAAAAAAGTTAGTGGGGTACGTGTTGTCCATACACTTGGAATAGAGGGCGCTTGCCATACCATTGGTTTGTTTACATTGGGAGGGCGGTGACACACATCACTTTGTGTGTGTGTGTGTGGTGCGTTTGGACTGGCTTGTAACGGGCTATGATGAAGGGCAGTGGACTAAAGAGTTGGCGGTATTTTTCCAGTTTGGTTCATTCAGATTTGAGCATCGTCGAAGATGAAGCTGCCGCGCTTTGAGATAGGGTGGGGGAACCAAAACCCATCGACAAGCTGTCACACAACTAAATAGGAGTGATTTTGTGGTGTGGTTCTGTGTGTATCATCGGGCCTTCGCGACTGGCAAACCCAGCGCGTGTGGGATAAACTGTGGGTACAATGGGAAGGCGGATAAAAATACCGTCATAACTATAGTGTATTGGTGGGTTGCAGCTGTATCATCTGCGGACAAAACGCGCCACCAATCTTCACCTTCACACATCAATAAAAGAACACCCACACCCACACACACAGTACAATGTACCACTACACCAAACACACCACACAGGTCAAAACGTTACCGATTCGTTCAAACGATTCACACCGAAAATTCGCAAGACCTGCGATCGTGGGACGTTGCCAGACGTTTTCTTTTATTATGATTTCTGTAATGCAGTGGTGTCCGGCCAAACTATGGGACGATTCCATAATGACAATGTCATACAATTGTCATACCAGGGACATGTACAAAGTGTAACCAATATCACACAACGGCATACCAAGCATTACGTACCACTTTTTCTGTGTATTGGGTAGCATCTCGAAGCCGTTGATGGTCCCAACTGGTCACCAGCTGCAGCGCCTTGTGTGAATTTGATCGACGAAACGTGTCGCACAGTTGACATCCATCACTCTTCATGGTAACGGTTTCTCTCTCTCTTTATCACAAACCGCTTCAAACCGCTTTTTGCATCTCTATCCGCGCAATCTCATGAGCCCCCTCCAAGTACAACTCGTCTGACAACCCAAAATTTGCGTTCCCCAAAAAAACGGCAGCCGGTCTCCCCCTGATGCGCCAAAGGACTCACCTCTGACTGACAGCTCTGGGTATCAGTTGCGATGTGAGGTGCACTTGCTGTGTGCCCAGCGCACGTGGTTGACTGAGATCAGTGGCTCTCACGCCCACTGAAATAAAAAATAAAATAAAAAAAGTGGCAGTCGTGCTCTCAACCAAAAATCTTGGGCCCCACCCGACCAGGTTGTTGCCGTATCACCAACAAGCAAGCAGGATCAAGACCTCGCACGCAACAGCCCAATGCCTCAAGCAGCCAGACGCTAATGCCAATCTTGTGATCCGATGCCAACTCACATGAGATGCAAGCAGCAGCAGAGGAAAAATGAAATGCCAACAACAGGTTCAAACTTCTCAAACTTCTCAAACTCTCAAACTCTCAAACTCTCTCTCTCTCTCTCTCTCTCTCTCTCTCTCTCTCTCTCTCTCTCTCTCTCTCTCTCTCTCTCTCTCTCTCTCTCTCTCTCTCTCTCTCTCTCTCTCTCTCTCTCTCTCTCTCT